GAGTATAGTATCATATATGATAAATATATTGCATGTGAAATAATTAACATATCTACCACGGAAAAAATCAGAGGGAGACGGAGACAAAGAAATAACTATGTAATGGTCCGATCACAGCTGTTCGATCAGGCTCTTCAAGGCACTTGTGACGAGGAAATTGATCTTTCATATTTCAATCTCATAATCTCATATTTAATAAGTTCATGTCATGCCGTTCACAATATATTTATGTATTCTTGGAAAACGTTTACTGTAAGAATTGTATTTGTATATATTTTTCTCTCCATTTATTTATAAGAAATGAGAAAAAATCCTTGCCAAATTACCAAACTATGTTACAACGTTACCACACAAATATTTCATAGCTTACAGTAATGCTCCAACACTCACGCACACTTGCATGGAAACATACTCACTTGCTCGTGCAGAAAGTCGATTTCAACGGGGTCCCTTGCCGTTTTTATTAATTACAAAAAATATTACACTAATTAGAGACATCTTATACTGAAGTTATAGACTTAGCTTATTATATATTTCAAATGACATTTCTTTCGATTATTGATTGTTTGCGCGCGTAAAAAAAATTGTTTTTAACTGATTCATCACAGGATCTCATTTGAAAGTCTTTTATTTCGTAGATACTGTGTAGTATCCATTTCATGACATATAATTAAAACAAATAAATAGATGAATAAATAAAACATTATATATAGATTTCTGTTTCCAATGAATCACAGGGAATGTAAAATAAATAATTTAATTAAATAAACTTCATAATACTGTTTCATATATACAACTGTTTTTGCAGACAAGCATTGACACGCACACACACACACACATACACACACTTACTACAGGTAGCAGTGAACCGATGATTCTGCTTAATCCCACAGCGAATTTAAACAGCAGTTTGTGTTGCATGAAATCAGCGTCTTTAGAAAGAAGTTTGTTTAGTATCGGTTACATACAACTGGATTAATTACCCGAAATGGATTAAACATTTGAAGGTAATATTAGTATAAATTAATGATAAACAGGCAACCTCATAAACAGCCTGCACACAGCTGTGCCTGACGCATGATGTTCTTTAACATACCGATTTTTATTTATGTTTCTTGTCTAAACATAAAGTCTATCTATTTTAAAATCAAATTAACAGTATATACCAGCAGAAAGGTATAATATAATAGGAAACAACGAAGCCCAACCACTAATCAAGCAACGGGGAACTTAGTAACCAATCACCGATCACTTTTACATCCATTCATAATTTTTACTAAGTAGTATAGTAAACAAATGGCCTGAGTTGCCAGCTGCATCCAGCAGTGTTCGAAGAATCTTGAACGAGACTGTACATAAATTCTCTTAAACATGATCAAAAACAGATGGCAAAGTTATGTAGACTTAAAAAAAATTAATATATATACTGTATGTAAAGGTACTTCGAATATTAACAGCAAACAGCAATCTTAATAACGAATCTGAAATAAAGAAATTTAGATTAACGAAGGAAAACGAAAGACATTGGCACGAGTCGTAGATTAGTGGAACATGAAATAACATAAAATAATTATCATTATTTTGTTGGGAAGTTTCAACAAATATAGGTTTGTGACATGAACCAACAAGCCTACTGCAATTTCCTTTACTCTCATGCTCTTATGGTCCTGCATTTTACCACCAGCCAGGAACACCTAGCAAACGGCATGAAAATGCAACAAAGATTCAGAGGAAACAATGTTGATATATAATGGATTGAAAATAATATACAGAATAACTGATGTTACGACCTTGGCCTCTTAGGTTGCTACAATGCAATTCAAATTCAAATTCTCTTAGTATTATTCTTAAAGTAGAGTTAACTTTATAATTATGGTGATCCTTGTATCGAAGTTCCAAGCAATAGATCCCACCAAAATCATCACCTCATTACTATGGGCTATATTGAAAATCATTAGGTAAATTTATTTACATTTATTAACAAACAAAAAATAAATATATCAGTTACGTACAAAAATAAAACATGGCCAAATTAAATCTGATCAAACAAGTGACTCGACCGAGTGACAAAATAATAATCATAAAAGTAATGACTAAACACTTTTTTAAATGAACTAACTACCGTGGACAGCGTGGTTATCCAACACACGTAACTCATAAACAAGTAAGTTATTTTACCGTGGAATTCTGAAATATGACTACCCACAATCTCACATATAAATCACTTGGTGTTCTTAAAAGTCGAGCAAGGTTTACACGTTATACCACTAGAAATATACAAAAGGAGAGGCGATACTTACTGTACCTTATGACTGCCAGCCCAATACTAAACTTGTAAAGTGAACCAGCTCTGAGAGGCAAACTAAGCGACCAGAGGTGGGCGGAAATGGTGTCATAAACAAAAGACGTTCAAGTTGCGAATCCCCAAATAAATATCGAACACTCACTCATTCATTAGTATTCATAACTAATACAATAAACATTACTTTGTTTCACTAAACACATCGGACCTAATGTTACTACATTCAAGTATAACATATAACATATCAATTTTAACTGCTTCAGTGTCTACACAATTCGAAGTATATATGCCGACCAGAAATCTATTCATTGGTTCTTATTCAGACACTCGTAGTACTGAATATATTGAAGTCGAGACTGAATGATGCATCATGCACTCTCGTCTTCAGTATATTTAGTTATAAATTATTTACATTCCAAAAACTGTTGTGTTGGGTGTGTGTGTGTGTGTGAAGGGGGGGGGGGGTGTCGAATAGGCCACCTAAAAACATGACCTGACAACACCTAACATAATGTCTTGGTGATGAACTGCTGTTACTAACTTACCCTTCATGGTGTATGGAGGGGTCTTGGTGTTTCTCACCTGAAAAATAACAAAAAGACTATTATACACTTGAATAAACGTAAACTACATGTAATATACTCATCCTTTGAGAGAGAGAGAGAGAGGTAGTAGGGAGCACTAAGATGACTCAATAACTACTGTGTACAAAATATCAACAAGGTTTCACCTCAAAGGTAACAAACACAATAGTCTCAAGGACATCCTAGGCATCTCTGTTGTTCCACAAAAGGAATGAATAGCCAAAGCCGTGTTATGACGTGAAATTTGTGTGAAGAAGTATGGGCGCATGAAAGGTGAGCTGGCTTTTTTACCAAGAAGGAATACGACAGTCAGGCGCCTAGTGGTGCAACTCTCTACTTTGTGTGTAATGTCTAAAAGTTGAACAGCCTATTGGAAACACACCAGTAGGCCATAAGATTACCAAGTTTGAGTGGTTCAGACGAAAGTGTCTTGTACACATAAATCAATGTCATTAATACCCAAAATGTCGGCTACCGTATTCTTTCTATCAGAATCGAGTGACGCTGTCACGGACGAGGAAATCAAAAGAGTAGGTTACACTGCACCAAGTCTCGACAGGAACAGATCTGGGGTGGTGTTTATGTTTATATAATAAATAACCTGACCTGTAACCTTAGATCAGACTTACAAGATTATCATTTGGTGGGCCTATGGCTGGAAATATTGTTAACCAAAACTAAACTCTCTGCCGCCCATCCAACGATAGTCAGTTTGTCGAACACTTTGTTAGGATATTATCATATATTATGGCAAGAGGAAAATAGTCTGTATAAGAAATATAAGCAAATATGATACATATATGGTTATAAACAGCTAATTAATTCATCAATCCTCATAAAAATGCCTTCAGCCATCACACGAGTTTCCTGAGTCTACTGTAGAGTACCTTAGGTTTCCATGGGGCAAGTGGAAAACATACAGTATAGACATTTTTCTTTATCAGGAATTTTTCAATAAAACTGTGTAAAATAAATCTTAGTATATTTCAATCTTTTCTGCATACAGAGATATGTGGATGAAGAAATTAAGAATTAGTTGATCTTAAAACTAATATAAATACTAGTACAAGATGTAAAGTTGATTAAACGTTTATTTAATTGATTTAAAAAATTCGGGGGAGGCGTGAGACTTTGGTCTAGATTACTAGCTGTCTTGGCTAGATTACTAGCCAAGACAAAACCAGTCCGGCAGGGGTCATTCCTATTTGCCTTAGTGTTTACTTCTTCATCTAATGCAGCAGGAAATAAGTTTAGGGAAAGATAGTTCACAAAAGGTAATCAAAAAACTGTCAATGAAGAATTACAATAGAAAAGTGTTCCAAAATAAACTAAAAATTATGAATAAATATCATGGGGACAAACTGCACGGGGCTGCGGGGACGTTCAAAACTACTTTACTGACATCCTTGACGTACTGTAGCACAATTACCGATAAAGCAGATAATGGTAAAAACTAATACTGGTAAAGAGTTACACAAAGCATTTTGTAGAATTATAAACAAAGTACAGAGAGATATAAGGCGAGCGAAATCAGAATAATTAAAAAATAAGATTGAGGAACATAAATATAATCCCAAAAAAGCTCTGGAATGAACTAAGAACCCTTGGACACACCTTAAACTCTTTCACGATGCATCTATAGTTGCAAATCATAAATTTAATTTTAAACGACAGTTGCCTCGACATTAGTCAATAAACTTCCGGTTGCCTCAGACAATTACTGTATTGGTTAAGATGCTTCTGTATCCCACTACAGAATAAATCACTTCAGACAGTGTTGAACTCTACACAGTGACAGTATTTTGTTCTCACAGAATTAAATAAACTAGACCCCGACATCTCAGCCAGGTTTTTATGGGATGGTGCCACTGTATCGAAAACTGTACCAAATGAACATAAGTTTACCAAAGTAATACCTATGTATAAGAAAGGCTGCAGGTCTGATGTAGGCAAATACAGTCCAGTTAGTATTAAGTATATTGTATCTAAATTTCTAGAGAGAACTGTGTATTTTTATATGGAAAGATATCCGTCATAATAATATTTTCTACATATACCAATTATTCTCCAAGGGCTTTCACCCAACTGACACCAGCTTGATCCATCTCACTGACCATAGTAGGGCACAAATACCCGTTACCGTTACCGTCTTCAACGCCTTGCGACGCAACCCGTGCGATCCTGAGCTCTTTCAAAGATTTCATCCCAGCTATTCTCTCCACCTCTTTCTTCATGGTTCGTACCCAATCAGGCCTCGGTGTTCCTCTTCTCGTCCCTCTCCCCCTAGCAATCACTCCACAGCTTCCCTTTGCTATCCTTTCCAACTGAACCCATAGTATGTTCCCCAACCACCTCCATCTATTCTTCATCAGCCACTCACAAGCATACGGAACGTTTGCTATTTCTCGTGTGGTCTCATTCCTAACTCGAGCATACCACTTTATTCCCAATATTCTTTTCATGGCCTTATTCTCAAAAACTCGAAATCGCCTAGATATAATTTCGTTGGCATACCCTCAGTCTCTACCATACACCAACACAGATCTCACCAATGATGGATATAACTTCATTTTGCTGTGAATTGGGAGTCTATGGGAGTTCCAAACTTTGCCCGGCATAACCATAACTTGATGACCTCTTCTTATTATTTCTGTAAATTCAGTGTCAATTGATCCACAATTTCTTATGACTGTGTCCAGTTACTTAAAGACGACAGCTTCATCAACAGCCTGACTTTCCACCGGGATGTTTCCTATCACTATCTGTTCCGTCTTCATAACCTCAGTCTTGCGTCCATTCATCCTCAACCCAACTCCTTTACCTTTTTCCTCAAGCCGTCTGTAGATTTTTAATATTCCTACTCATCAGTACCACATAATCTGCAGAATAAAAATCTGCAATGTATTTATTTTTTACCCATTCGATTCCTTCTCCTTTATCATCAATTTTTCCTTCATTACGAAGTCAATAATTACACCAAACAGCAGTGGAGACAAAACATTACCCTGCAATACCACCCTCCATATTGAATTCAGTGCCCAAAAAAGCTCATGGAAATTACACAGGGATGGTACCATTAGACTTACAAAAGGCCTGTCACACAGTGGATCATGATTTACTACTGTATGTGAAAACCTGCAGGTTCATGGCTAAGAAGTCGACGAGTGACAAAGAGAATAAAGGAACAAAAATTAAAAGTAGTTGCAAATAAAGGCGATTAAACACCATATTCGAAACCTGTGGAGTCCCACTAGGCAGTATCCTCGGACCATTGCTCTTCCTATGTAACTTAAATATCATGCCCTTTGGTGTTAATTACAAACTTTTGTTGCATGCTGATGGCAGTGCCCTTTTAGTGTCAGGTAAAGATCCATATGATATAGAAATCAAGTTATCATCTGAATTAGAGTAATGAAAACAATTGTTGATAGACAAAGAATTATCCCTACATCTTGGAAAGACTGAGGCAATAAAATTTTAATTAAAAAAGGCAACTCAAAAAAGTAAAAGATTTTAATGTACATTTCCTTGCAGAAGTCTTTTGCCATAATTTTCTTTTACCTTATATACGCTGTCAACAACATTTTTAATTATCTGGAGGCCTCACTTCCCTAAACCAACTTTCATCTCATATAATTTTTAACTTATTTTGTGCCTAATGCTGTATAAATTTTCCCCACTCTCTAATATTATTTGTTCTAATTCATTCTATTGCGGTTCTATTTTTTCTGCTTTCATCCATTTTTCTAGCAGTGCCAAAGATCTGTTTTGAAATTAAATTTTATATGTTATTCTTCTCTCTGTTTTCAGCTTCCACAAGTCCTATTTTAATATAGACATTTTTCTTATTTTAATTTCTCAAGTTTTAACCTCACGAAACTCATTATTGTGACATGGTCCGACCCATAATATTCTTGTGAAGTCTAATTTTATAATTGGAATTATTAATTTTTATTGAAATAAACAATAATCTCTTTGCTTTCTGACACTAACATTTCTATTTTGCAGAGGTGATAACAATGGTTAGAGGTGACTTGGGTGATGCTGAAACCATGAATTTGTATTAGTCATCTTACAGTCCTTATAAAAATCATCTTTCTCCCCTTTCATTTCACTTTCTCGATCCATATGGTTCTACTGCTTTTGCGTCTTTCCATTTTCCTTGCTTTGCATTAAAAGTTTCAATCGAACTTCATTGTCAGAACGAGGAGCAACTTTGAGGCTTCGTTGGTTTGGTGATGGTTCATTTGGGTTTAGTTAGTGTTTCGGGTTAGGTTTGAGTTGGTCGCTGAGTTTAGTTGAGAGGTGTGTGAGGGTTGCTGGCACAAGTCACGCAGCAGCTGCAGTTAAGGCAGCATGGGTCGCCCTCGATAATCGTGTATGGAGGTAGAGTGTTCCCGCTGTATTTTGTCTGGCAACGTTACTTAAGAGGTATGTCTCCAGTGTGGTCTTTAAGTTATGGACATAATATTATTTCGAATGAAGAGCACATGGTGGTTGTTGCTAGGTAAGTTGGCTTGACTGGGTTTTACAGTTAACTAGTGTGCTGGAGTAGAGGTGGCTGTCTTGGAGACCGGTGTTGTGGCGTGGCTGGGATGTCTCTCGTCGTGTTGTGTCGACGGTATACACCAAGCGTCATTCTAAGATCAATCCGGCAGTTACTAATGACGATCAAGAGAGAAAAGAGCGGATGCAATACGTCAGTCTGTGAACTAGATTCCTACTTCTGCAAATAGAACAGCTTCAATTAACGAACGAACCAAGCGGTAGTTGAGGTCTCATTGTCGGGTAAAATTTACTTGTTTGTGTACAATTTCTTTTTATTATATACTGTACATGTGCGTTGTAATTGTCTTATAATAAATTAATGTTTAATTTATTTGATTTTTGTTTATCCATACGGTACCACACCTTATCTTCAGCCTTTTTATTGTATTACACCTCTTTTAAGTCCCATGGTCCCGTCTAGTGTGTGAGTAAGTCGCACACTCAATAGCACCCTCACATTCATAAACCTGAAATACTACCAAGACCATGAGTATAGCGATACATTATACTAATATAGCTCTATCTAACACTGCTAAATGTCCAGCTTCGCAACTACCCAACTTCTGCTTTACTCGAAGGCTTACAACTTTTTTAATTTTTTCACCAACTGAATGCAATTCCGCTACATAAGTAAGACACCATTATTGTTAAGTCCTGAGCAGCTGTCATCATCATCATATGTGTTAGCCTTTTCGAGATTTATTATGCTAAATGATAAATTATTTTACCACACTTGCGTTAGCCTCAGTATGCTATAATGAGCTAAAAAAGTTGAAAATAAAATAATTACACTCTGAAAGTATGTATCAACAAACGGTAAGCTACAGCATTATACTTTACTCTGCTAAAAGATCAAATACTTCTCACACACACACATTACATGTATTAGCAAACACCAGGTAACATGACATCATATACTTTACAACACAAATTTACTTACAAACAGAAAATAAGACCCGTACGCTAAACATAGAATCCTTGTGTATTGTGGGAGCCGATTCAGCATTACCCCCGCCTGCACGCCTTGCTACACACACTACTCTCGTCTGACCACCCTCCCTTCCTTTACTGTACTGTACTGTACTGTACACCGCCTCAAACTTCGCACGTCCTCGTGGAGTCTTTGCTTTCTAAACTTCCCTCTTATGATTTCTCTCCCCCACTTTGTTCTCTAATCTCTAGCTCCCTTGAGAACCGATCCATGGCAGTTGTTGTCAAGGGATCGATCTCTCGCTTAATCTCTACCAATAGAGGCGTCCCGCAGGGTTCTGTTCTTTCATCTACTCTCTTCCTTCTTTTTATCAATGTTTTACTTCGCACTACAACTAATTCCTTCCATTCTTACGCTGATGATTCTACATCATCACATTTTCCCCTTCCCCCTAACTATCAAACTAGATCTGTTTCTAGAGCTGATATCATTACACCTATCAATGCGGATCTGTGCAGCATCTCCGAATGGGGAGGTAGAAACCTGGTTAAATTCGATGGTAACAAAACACAGGATTTACCAATTACACTTTCCAAATTCGATGATCTCCCACCAATTACATTTCAGGACGCAATCATTCTGCCAAATTCTAAAATAAATATGCTAAGCCTCACCATTTCCTCTAATATGTCATGGAAGCCACACATCCTCAACATTGCTAAAGCTGCCTCCCGAAAGCTGGGAATGATGTTCAGATGCCGTAGCTACTTCACTCCTCAGCAGTTGCTTCAAGTATATAAGGGATTCATTCGTCCTAACTTAGATTACTGCTCTCATATCTGGGGTGGCTCTTCTTCTGTCCAACTGTTAGATAGGGTGGAATCAAAGGCATTTCGTCTTATTAACTCTCCCCCTTTACTTGATAATCTTTCTTCCCTTTCTCTTCGCCGCAATGTTGCTTCACTCTCTCTCTTTTACATGTACTTCAACGGGCAATGTTCGGTGGATTTGGCATCCTGTGTACCGCCGACAAGGCCGTGGGCTCGTAACACACGTCTTGCCCGTGGTGCCCACCGTTTCTCTGTGGATGTTGGTCACACTAGACTAGAATAACCCGTTATAGTACACCCTTCTTTCCTCATATAGCCAATCTGTGGAATGCTCTGCCTTCTTCTGTGTTTCCACACTCATGCAATCTGTTTCACTTTAAAGACCTGGTTTTCCGGCTTCTTCGTGGTGTATAACCTTTTCCTTTTCTATTTTTAATTTCTATCTACTCTTATTTTTCGCCCCCTAGGCGTCGTTGTGGGTCGATGACATGTGCTCGGGTGGGCTATCCCCCGAAAAAAAAATAAAAAACAATACAATACGCCGTAGGGAGGACCAGAGGAAGGCATTAAGCCTCTCCATGAAACTCTACCTCAATAATCTCGCCGGCGTATATGATTACGTGAACATTTTTCTGCCTAACGTACCACAGTTATTCAAACCTTTAATGTTTTATTTCATAAAATGTACCTCATTCAGCCACATCTACAGTTAAGCTTAAAAATTATCAGTGAGTTTTCTTATTATAGAAGAATAGGTTTAAGAAATGTTCACATCCTGACATTGTTGTACAGCATACGACACGAGAAGTTAACAACTGCGGGGTTATTCACACCACAGTCTCACAGTACTCGGGCTGCTGGAGCGCCCCACCTAGGCGTAAACGACATTGGATTGCAGCATGAACTAACTATATGTGACCGCCTT